CAACTCTGCAGCTGCTCACTCTCTCTGTTTGTTGTTTTCACTCTGGTTTTTATGATTTAATCTCATATCCTTAGAGTTAATCTGAAAAGGGTTCAGGCAGCTTTGTTTATGCTTCATATTTTGCTTCAAATCATGATCTTACAGACCATGATCTTTTCAGATAGCAAGAACCGATTATTTTTGACATGGCTCACCCTCTTGATAGATGCAACAATAATAAATGAACTCATGAAACAGGAAAATACTTTCACTTTGGGGTTTTTTTGGCACTGAATCTAATGAAAAATATTCTTGAGGAGAGCTTTTTTTTTTGTCCTAATAGAATGCATGATATATATATATATTGTAAATTCAAAGTTAACATTCTCAAATTTTGGAAAACATTTTGGACTCATAGAAGATGTATTAGAGGAAAAAAAAGAAAAGAAGAAATAAAAGAAAAATGACACCAAACCACTTTATCATTCTTATCTATCTGAACTACAGAAGAACATTTCAGATAGGCATTAGACTCAAAATGGTTTTGTCATAATAACCTTGCACTGAGAAGATGCATTTGTTGTTTCCTACTTCAAGAGAAGTATTGCTTAAAAATGATTGTGAAATGCCATGTATATAGAAAAGGGGTTTATGAAGCAACATCTCCAGACTATCACAAAAGATTTACAATTTAAAATACCAAATTCATACGTGGAAAATGACTGAAATGGCTTTACAATGGGTTCCAGTAAGAGCAAGAAAAATAATTATTTTACAACTGAAGCATGGCAATACCTCCTCAAGATCTAACTATTCAGGGAAACAAAGCAACGCATAAAAAGCTTTGTATCGGCATTACGGTTCCCCAGCTTTTATTATTAGGATGTTGTACACATGTTAATAGGACATGATAAACATTTGCTTTGGCTTAGTTTTAGGAATGAAGAAATCAACCATTTTACAAGCTGATTCCCTGCCACAAAATGACTGAAAAACAATTAGATCTCTTCAACTAATTTTGCTGATATAAAGAAAATACAGTGTATTGAATGATGAGTAGCATAGATATTAGGAACAACAAAGTACCTGAATGGTTTTGATCAAAATAAAATAAGAAGAACCCTTTTGTATAATCCAGAATTATTGTGAAATCAGATAGTACAAATCAAAGAACTGCAGTGCATAGAGCCATAAATCTACCATCTGTGCACAGCATAACTCAGAATGGACTTTCTGAGTCTATGGATTACATAGAGTAATGTTTCCTATTTCTTTGATTCACATCATTTGCCAGTTTTCAGGGAGTCTAGCATTATACTACATTAGAATCAATACTCTGCTCACATAGTTAAGTCTGTGGAAACCACTACAAATGGTTACTTCTCAACTGCCCTTAGCATAAAATCTCCATGTGATACAAATTATGCCAGTCTCACCACAAATAATGTCAAATATAAGATGACCAATTGCTAAAAGCAATCTAACAGTGTATCCTACAGGGTGTTTGCTCTCTCTGCCCTCTCCATGGGTTTACTACATAGAAAGCAGTAAAAGCACTGTAAGGCAGATTAAAAATATCAGATATGAACTAGAAAAAAAATTTATAATGGAAAACTGTTTTGCTGGTGGCAAGTGCAACTTTCTCCTGAATAGTTTCTGATTTCTCTTTTCTTCTGTAATGGAGCCAATATAAGAAAAACATCTCTGGAGAACATGCAATCCAAAATCAACCCAGACTTCTTTAAGGCAACCAATTTCATATCAAAGATCTACAATCAAGAACCTATTTGTCTCTCGGAACAGTTTGGAACCTATTGATTAAAAATGGGATTGTTGCATACATCAAGGGAGCAGAATACTAGCCTAAGGGTTGGAAAAATAAATGTTATTTTAAAGAAGAATAATAGTATTAAAGAAAACTAATAAAATACGGTGAGTACTACTCAATAAGGGAAAACCAAAAAAGCACAACCAGAAAATTATAGAATCATAGAATTTTAGGAGTTGGAAGGGACCTTGAAAGATCATCTAGTCCAACCCCCTGCCAGAGCAGCACCCCGTAGGGCAGCCACACAGGAACCTGTCCAGAGAAGGAGACTCCACAGCCTCTCTGGACAGCCTGTTCCAGTACTCTGTCACCCTCACAGTAAAAGACATAGTAGGAAATGAGGCAGAAATGGCATTGATGTTAGTGAGGTTCAAAGAGTGAATTTTAACTCTGTGGCCAATTAGTCTCCACATGATCAAGGTATACAACACTTGATACAAAGAACTACTAAGTAATGATTGGTGCAAGATCACAGGAATCTTCAAATGTTCAAAAAACTTTGATTAAAAAATGGCATTTTACCTTTCTAATAAAATCATAAGAACTTAAGCACACAGAGTCTAAGCAGTACATTTTTTTCACAAGTGCTTTATTGTTTTTATGTTTTTAATTATTTTTTGGTGTCAAAACTAACATGTTTGGGATGAAAAATAAAAAGGATAATATTTTCATTTTCCACTTATTTCTATTATTGACATCATGCAAGATAAACTACAACCACTTCTAAATATCTGAGACTTTCCTGCTATTTCCCTATTATATTGGACATTTTGAATGGTCATATTTTTCTCCTAGAATTAGCTTATCTAGACAAATGGTCTACCATACTAGACTAACTCTATTTCTGCATAAATTAATTTAGGAATAGAAAAAAAGAACTGCCATGATGATCTCCCACATAACATGTTTCTCTGCTGGCTGGTTCTTTCAGTTAATGTCAAAAAATAAAAAATAAAGAAAGACAGAAAATAATCTGAAGCATTCAGAAAAGAAGACAAGAGACCAGAAGCCTTTAGGAAGTTACATACAATTGATGACCAAAACTGCAAGTTTCAAATAGATAAAAATACTTTTCTTAACTTGATCAATAATAATAAGCAGAAAATATATAGCTCTCTAAATTTGAATATTAAAATTATATCAAATTATTATATATATCCTATGTGTTATCACTACCTTCTGGTCTTAACAGAGATGGAATGTAATAAAATTGTAAGCCTTCCAAGCAGTATTGCTGAGAATAGCAATGGCACCACAGCATACGCAGGTCCAAACTCAAAAGGTATCCCTATCCTTGAATTCTAGGATATTCTTGTTCAGAGATGCTGGTATCCCTACTCTAAAAGTTCATGTGTCCAAGCAGACACTGAGTGGGTATGAAAGAGGAGTCTTTTCCACTCTGTCCAGCAAAGGAAAGACACTAAATATGAAGAACATCAGGGCAGGAAATTATTCAGAAGACCCTCTAACCTTCATTAGCATTATATATATCTATATATCTATATAGATATATAGATATCTCATAAATATATTCTAAGCATACTTGTATGTCTGTTACGGAACACGAGTACTAATATCCAAGTAAAACAGGAAGGGGATAATCTCTGAGAACAAAATTTGGATTTAAACAGTATGTTGAGTAAAGGTAATCACAATCAGCAGAATGGTCCTGATTTCAGGCACAAAAGCTACATTCTTCCTGCTGGTAAATACTGCTTTATATTGTCCATATTTATCATATAACTCTGCTTAGGGTAAATACACATTCCATATCTGAATTATATATTTATTTGTATATCCCTCTGGCCCTCTTTCTGCATGCACACAATATAAGGACACTTTCAGAGTTAAATTATTGCTTAGAACAAGGGGCTTTTTTTATCATCACATTACGCATGATACCATTTTCCTGGCAACATTAAGGAAAAAAAAAACAAAACCCACAAGAGTGCTCCTTAGCTCTCCTGCTCCTTAGCGTCAAATTAAACTGCCAGCTGCATTTCTCAGAGACCATGCATATAACTCAGGAGCACTCAGAGACACTAAAAGTACAGAACCCAACAGCTGAAATCAGAGCAAAGGCCAACAGGCAGAATAAGTTAAACAAAAGGGTTACATTAATTACATTCAATTTGTTCCCAAATAAGACCCAAAATAGGAAAGAAAATATGGTGGGCTACAAGAGGTGAGGGAAAAGGAAAATAATTTTAATTACATTAGCTGTAAAAGATATTATAGCTGTCTAATTGTTTCAAGCTCACAGAATAAATATTGTAACACAGACATAAATGGGCAGCAGAGGAATACTGCCAGATCATACTGCTCTGGCTGCCAAATTCCAAGGCAGGTGGAGGTCTCTGGAGAGAGGGGGTATCATTTCCATAGAAACACGTGTCCTAGCTCATTCTCTTCTTTCCCTTCTCACCATATTTAAAGTTCTATTCTGGTCTTGCTTAGAAAGAAATTAAGTTTGTTCAATTAAACAGGTTGTACTTTTATGTTCCAGCAATATGTAGCCACAGAGGTTGAGAGCCTTCTGGTGTCTTTTGATACAATCACATCAAGAAAACGAGAGGGAAGTTCCAACTCCAGCCCCTGACTAAACTAGGTCTTACTACATCAGCGCTGAAACAGCCACAGCTTCAACCAATGCCAAGTAACATTGAGATAAACCAGCAAAGAAAAAAAAAACTTATTAATGACAATAACTAACAGCAAAAATCCAAGAAACCATGAAAATTCTCAGGTCATTACATAAAGATTTCACCACCTTCGACACCACATACTGCAAGTACTACCAGATGTTTTAATCTGGTAGTCTGAACAACCACCATCTCCTATTTGGATTACTAAAATTCTGCTGTAAAGTTAGTGACTGCAAAAAAATATGGTAACATTCTGTACAGTGCAATGACTTATGATTTCACAAAGTGAAGAGCACATTGACAAGCTCTGTCACACTACAACTGTCATTTTCCGTGTTGTTTTTTAATGAGAAGGAAAGAAGAACACACATTGTTCACGACTATCTGAATACCATAAGAGACTCCTCAGCTGCTGCCTAGGATTGTTTCAAAAAGCCCAGTACATATCTAATAGGTCACAGAAAAAAAAAAAATAAGATTTCAAAAGAAAAAATTTGTAGCATAAATTCAGCAGATCTTATCAGTGGAAACATTAAATACTTTCTTACCTGTCTGATGTTGCGTCACTTGTTACTTGATGCTTTACTCCTGAACCATTCTTAATTGAGTCTTGTCTTGTGAGCCCTTGAGGTCTGTTTTTGTCCAAAACTTGTGTGGATACATCACCTGGTGGTCCTTGGTACTGCGAATGCTCCTGCAGCTTTGCTTTTTTCTCTTGAGGTGCTTCCTCGTTCCGCAGACCCCTAACACCTTCTTGGTCAGGCTGCTGTGGTGCATTTGATCCACTGTTATAGAACCAGGCTCCTGATTTTGTGAGGATTTCTTGTTGTTTTCGGCACAAGTTACATACCCACATTACCTGTTCAGACATATTTAAATGGAAAATCTGTTAGCTTACAAACATTTTATACAAAGTTTTCCTCAAGCATAGCTCAACTGATTGTTGCCATTTCCAAAGGCAGAAAGAATACTATAACTAAACTAATAGTCTAGAGATAGCACAATAAAATGTCTATACAATCTTGTAGGAAATTGTTTTAGGAAAAAATACAAACACAAAAACACTTTTATTCTACTTCTCCTTCATCTTTTATATGACAAGGGAAAACCACAGACAGCAGCAATCTAAATGAAAAGGAACTACATATTGGCATTCCAATGGCAGAAAAAGTAAGATGTGAAAATGAAAAGTATAGGCTGAGGATGATACGATGATAGAAAAGAGGAATAAAAAATGGATTAAAAAATTAAAAATAAAATTTAAATCCATTCTCTTACTAAGTCAGAGTAATAAACTTTGGAATAGATCCTCTGCTGTTGCAAAAAAGTAATTTTATAATCCTCAAAAATGCTCTGCTAATTTACGTTAGTGGTGGTCTCTTTACATAAAGAAGCTGACTCAAGGAATTAATTTTCAAAGCTATTGTAAATTAAATCCATTTTATAAATAAACACAATATACAAGGTGGTGAATGTCTCCACTTCATAGTCAAGATTTAACTTTCACTATATGCTTACTAAATACTAAAATGATTACAGCTTCCTAGTTGTGAGTTCCTGCATGTAGTAATGAGATTTTTTTCACATTCTATAATGTACTTGCTTGCAAAGCTTTTGTATCCAACCACCACAGTCACAAGGCAGTGCAGGAAATTGCTAATGTCAATTATCTCTAGGTTAATTTCACATTCAGTTCTTATGTTATATGAAAATAAGTCAGGGTATAATGAATCAAATACAACAGACCAGTTATTAATTCAATCGCACATTCAAATTGGTTATTGTGTTTTCTTAAAATTTGAATTGTATATAGCATTAATTCACTGCAAGTTTAGTCCTTCACTCCTTAATCTTCATTTTTCTTTAGGCTTAACCCATCTATCCTGTTCTTTATGCAGTTTTGTCTTAGTTCACAGACAAGTTCCTTGAATATCTACACTCAGCCTTCAATCTAGTTACCATGCCTCCAGTTCTAAGCCTACACTGAGCTGCCTCTTTTTCAAGGGTTTACAGTACAGGACATTCAAAGGATTACGTTAATGCTCTTGATTATTCTTTAAAATGCGGCAAGCTCAATGGTTGAATCATATGGAAAATGTAGTTTCTACCTCTACAATACATTTAGTTCAGTCCACCAGAAAAGGTTTCAAAAGCTGTAAACTGTATTACGATTTTATTCTCCAGGCAGCTATCTAATAGGAAATTTGGGCATGCTGTCTAGTCAAGTCTCACAAAAAAATGTTTCAATGAAACCTTCACTTAGAAGGCTACTTGGATGCAAAGTTCCTACTCAGATTCACTGACACTCATTCACAAACTGCCAGGCTGGGGCAAGACAAAGAGCCACCACTTGCTTATTTAATGGCAGCAATGTCCCCAATCCTGGTAATCTTTCTTCTTAACTTTTTGTAGTGCTGATACTCCATCTACGAGAACTCACGTCTGCTTATTTCAACAAGACAGAACAAGCTATCAAAGCATGGAGGATAAAAAAGAGAGACTCCCTGAGTAGCAGCTTGCTGTCTGAAGTAGGTTAGTTGTCCTGAGAACACAGGTCAACACTGCATATGATATGCTTCAGGCCTGGCCATTGTTCACATACAAATTTAAGAACATGTATGTTTTACCCTTGCTAATAAAGTTAGAAAGTTCACAAAAGCTCCAAAGTGAAATTTCAGCACCAAAGACAGAAGTACTTTTGCCCTCTTTAATCACTAGCCCTTTCTGCCATTTTTGCTTGGTTTGAACACAGGTGAAAGAAGTTCTAAACTTTCCATACATGTCAGTGCAATTAAAGGACGAGATCTGAAACAATTATTTAAATATACAAATATATAACAACTTGAATGAAAACAAGATAAAAATCCCAAAGTTTTCATGTGCAATTATTCTTTCTATACATACATGTTAAAATGTCACATAAGCTAGACATCACTGTCCAAACACTTGAGCAACTATGTCCTTGGCTGACAGCCACATTTTGTCCCAGGACAATATATTCCAGGATGACCAGTATTATTCTCTTGTACCCAACAGAATGAGAGGTCCTTCTGAATGAATATGATTTAATATCTCCTTCCCTAAAAGTAGAATCAAGAAGAGTATTCCTGACCTAACCTCTTTCCCATGACACACAAAATTTAGCCATCCGTTTCAACATAAATCTCAGCTTCTGACAAACTAGGTAGATGACGATGCATAGCAGAACAGAGCAATGCAGTTGTCAGTGCCACGAGACCCATATGAAACAAGCAAATGTTTTGTTATAAAAGTTCAATCAAAAGTTCAAACTAAGATGCTGTGCCTATCTTTGTTGTCGCTATCTACCATATCATCATCTGGGGTTTTATTTCCATCTCTACAGCCTGGAAGCTGTTTTACACTGACAGTCAGTGACACTTCAAGGAAGACATTGTCCCAGGCCCTACTGAAATCAAACTGGTTACAACTGTTTCCACTGTGCAATATTTCTTACAGGCTACCAAAGTAATTGGGTCAGACCTGCAGGAAACAGTATGAGCACTTAAATTTAAAGTACCTCATGAAACTAAATTTTAATAAAAAGGAAAAATTTACTTAGGGTATTCCACATTGAAAAAAAGAAATCTAACACACAGCATGAAAAATTCATGTATTTATGTATTTTTCATCTTTCTTTCCTCCTAAGCATGTTCCATATAGCTAATACTTCTGATAAAGACTTACTTCCAATGTACTTTCAACATATAGACTTCCATAGTGGTGATCCAAGCAGGTATAATTTCAGTTTCAAATAATCACACACAACAAGCGGAATCGCAACTGTCACACACATAGAAATCTACGTGCTATCACTGAGCACTGAGAAATTCAAGCCCTCAATCAGTATAGGGCTACACTGACTTCTCCATCTTACTGTAGCTAGTAGATGCATTCCTGAAAAAAAAAAAAAAAATGGTCCTTTACAGTGCGGACCTCTCGATTAAATGACAGACACGCATGTAAGATAGTGACATAATAGCACAGATGGGAACGTGGCATATTCCTGGACAGGATTTCTCCTTCTGCCCCCAGGTGCCTGCGACAGAGGCCCAAGAGCTCACCCACACACAGAGCAGCTCTGTCGCTGCCAAATCCCTGCCAGGACAGGACATTTCACGTGACCGTGACAGCAGCACAGCAGAGAAGGGAAGGGGAGGCTGCACAAGTGGATTGCAGGCTCAACACGGGCATTTTGACATATTTGCCAAGAAAAATCACAGCAATTTCCCTTCCAAAATAGTAATTTAAAATGGGACAATCTCTTACATCAGAAATATGCGCTCTACCTGTGACAGGCTACCTATGACACCCGTTTCCAAATCTAACCAGCACTGTGACGAGTTCACCAGTCGTGAACACATTTTGTACACAAACATCAGTGTTGCATTGTGTGGTCATCAGTTCTTCTCAATATGTGAACAACACATCAGCTTGAAAAGGAAAAATATAGATAAAAATCTGCTATCCAGCATCTTTCATTATTATTTTAGTACTATTTTAAAACTAGAACCTAAAGAGCTAGTGGCACTGTATCGAGATATGCATTTCAATGCAAAAGGCTGAACCACCACCTAGTGCTCAGGGCAGGAATTGCTGCAGTTATTTTCAAATAAATTTCCCCCATCAAATGTGAAAATAATCACACAGAATATACCTAGCCTGACACATTAAGTCTTAATTTATTCTTTTTTTAAGACAAGTTTCTTTTTTATAGAACACTGAAAACAAGCATCGAATTTGGAATAGACAGATTCACCTCAAATTTTCCATGTACATTGCATTCACAATGATTAATTCTATACATAGAACATACAAGTTCTAACTCATTTTGGATTTCTTCACTATTTTTTTACATTATTCATAATATGTTCTTATTTCTGCCAACAGTGTCTAAAAGCTTTCATCACATAATATTAGCACTTCTTATTACATAGAGAAGGCCACAAAAATAAATTCTGCAAAACCTTCAATAATGTTCATCTACACACCAGACGTAATTAATGCACAAAAAAAATTGCTCCCTGATATTGTCCTAAATAAAATATTACAATTTTGACTTTTAAGTGAAATTCTTAAAAACATATTTTACACACTATTTTAAATTCAATAAAATTGAAAAAAATATTTATAAAGAAATTACATCTCCTGACATTACGAAGCAAAACCCAGGTAATTTAATAAATATAGTATGACCATAATTTCAATATTTTCTAATAAATCACACAAAAAGAAAGCTACCTTACAGAATATCATTCACTGTTCCCCTAGGTATTATTACAGATGGCCTAACACTAACTTCCAAGAATAAAATGGAAATCTTACTTATTTTAAAATTAGATTAAAAGACACAGTATATTTTATCACCTGGAGTTTGATAGCTTAGGCGCTAAGAAATAATTATACTAAACCCTCATCCGCCTTAAGAATACTACTTTGAACTACAGGTGTGCAGAGGTGCAAATCATACTGAAGGCTTCTATAAGACCTTAAGATTTATTATTATTTATTATTATAGTTTTACAAAATCATGTTTACTGACATGTTACAACTAGGTTTTTTATGTTTTGGTGGTTGTTCTTTTTCCCAACCTCACTAATGCAAAACAACCTCATTACATCATGGAGTCATGCAACGGTTGATGCCACCCTGTATCAAGGAAGTTTTTTCTAGGAAGGTGTTTTTCACGTCTCCATTAGTCACTACGTTGACTTGGAGCAGACACTGCCAAATCACAGCTGGGACTCAGGAACATGAGTCAGCTTCCTCTGCCCAGTCACGGAAGTTACAATTATATAGCAAATCTTTGGCTAATATGCCCCTAGTACAAGAAGAGCCCAA